ATTACATTTCACTGCACCAAACATTCTGCACTGACTCCTTGATGATTCATATAAACTATATTTAATCAATTAAAAATTAATCTTAAAGGTCAGGCTAAATTTTAGGTTCTGTTTATGACTATGAAAGTTTAAGTGTCCATAGTTTTTGTGTGCTTGTATTTTTTTTAAACCTGTCTATATGGAATATCGTAAATAGTTAAAATATTTGAACTAATTTTCTTTTTTTTTGAGACAGGGTCAGTGGCATCTTCCTAGCTCCCTACAACCTCCAACTCCTGGGCTTAAGCAATCCTCCTGTCTCAGTGTCTCCCAAGCAGCTGGTACTACAAGCATATGCCACCACATCCAGCTAATTTTTTCATCTTTTGTAGAGATGGGGTCAGTTTTACTATGTTGCTCAGGTTGGTCTCAGACTCCTGGCCTCAAATGATCCTCCCGCCTCAGCCTCCCAAAGCGCTAAGATGACAGGCACAAGCCACTGTGCCTGGCCAAACTCGTTTTCTTGACTGTTCCTAAGTCTGATGAGATATTTCATCATTTGGTCACTACTGAGTTATGTGCACGTTATAGCTAACTGAAAAGGAAGTACATCTACTCAGACTAAAATAGGAGGTTTGGGTCAAGAATACCTATTTCAGGAATAGTCTGCTCACAAGAAAGAGCAAATAGCACAAAGTAATTAGGAAATGACCACCTCAAATTCATAAAACCCTAGGTTTTAGAATTCTGCCTTTTCAACCTGGCAACTATTTAAGAAAAATAAGAGTTAAATTATGCAACCAAGGATCCTAAGGACCACCATAACAATTATAGCTATCAATTATGTGCTACAACCATTCCTCTCTAAAACATAATCTGAAAATCTAAACCAAGTATCTGAATCTCTATTACCACAAAATGAATGGCTATATCCAACAAAACATTCTAATTACTGCCTAATTCAGTGTTAAAGATCTCATGAGTTAAAATAATCTTAAAGAGAGAGATGTCACTCTTTTTTCTCACCATTTCCCAAGTAGTTTCACCCTAATTTTATTTTTTTGAAATAAGTATTTAACACTAAATATGTATTTCTTGTTCAAAAAAGCAGAAGCCTTGCAGTTTAACACTTATAAAGCCCATTACACGATGGGATATTTTTCTCAAATGCTTTAAATAATAAGGTATTGTTTGAAAGACACCTCAGATAAGCCAGAAACCTCAACTATTGCTAGCAGGGAGGGAGGGAAAAGATACAGAAATAAATTTCACATAGCTTAATGGGTGATCTAGCAACTGTGTTAGATAACTCAAAAACTGGCTCTAGTGATGACAGACAGAATGATGATGCTTGTGAAAATTTGAATAAAATTGTTTTAAGAACTATAGGAAATGGGAAAAAGCAGTTATTTGCAAGTTAATACATTTCATACTTAATTTTAAGTATGGACTTGTAAAGTGAAAATAACAAACAGTAAAACCAGACATTTGATTATTTCGATCATGTCTCCAAAAAAATTTTATGCTCAACTCTACCAAAAATAATCTGAGGGATGGTCTCATTTAGAAAATTAAATATCATCTTTTAAGGGCACTTGGGTAATTTGCTATGTCATACAGCTATCATATCCAAACAATTCTGAAGCCCATTTACTTACCAATTATAATATACTGCTTCCCTACAGATGAAGAATCTCATCAATGTGAAATCAGTTATTTTCGGTTGTTTCTAAAGATTTCCTCTGAGTAATACATTTTCAAACACTGAGAAAGCAGGAAAAATTAAAACCAGTGTATCAAGAGTATGAAAATAGTTGTACTGAGTTGATTAAGAAAATAATTTTAAGGCCAGGTGCCATAGCTCATGCCTGTAATCCTAGCACTCTGGGAGGCTGAGGCGGGAGGATCGCTTGAGCTCAGAAGTTTGAGACCAGCCTGAGCAAGAGCGAGATCCCGCCTCTACTAAAAATAGAAAAATTAGCCGGGCATGGTGGCGCACACCTGTAGTCCCAGCTACTTGGGAGGCTGAGGCAGGAGGATCACTTAAGCCCACGAGTTTGAGGTTGCTGTGAGCTAGGCTGATGCCACAGTACTCTACTCAGGGCAACGGAGTGAGACTTTGTCTCAAAAAATAATAATAATAATTTTAAAAAGATGTGTGTTAATTTTAATCCTTATGACCAAAAAAGTTTTCTTGAGATTAAATTAGAGTTCTGAAATATCAGAGTCCTTCCGCAGGCTTATAAATTTTTACAAACATCCCTACAAATGCCCATAAAACTTTTGTTGTTATAAACATTACCCACATTTTACATGAAAAAAATCACAGATTAAAAAATTTGCATAAAGCACACAATAATCAATTTTGACCCTCCAAGAGACTAATACAAACCTTTTACTCTTTTGATTTGAAACCCATGAGGGAAGTTATCCACACTGAATGATATCTACTATCGTGAAGTAAAAAAAAACAAAAAACAGTTTTAAAATGAATTCTACTTACAGCCGCACGTCGGACATAAACAGGATGAGAAAGGTGTACATTATTAAGTAAAAATAAGATAGAATCCAACGTGTAGTACTCTCTGGGTTGGCCTTCTTTTCCAGTCCTGAAATAATTAAGGCAAGATTTTTTTACTCACAATTCTAATTCAACTCTTTGGGCTTAATTACATGTATTCATTAATCCATACAACTTTGCTATCCAACAACGGATTTAACATGCCTAACAAAGATACACATAAAGTATAAAATCTAATAAGTGGAATGTCATTAGGGCAAAAGGAACACAGAGGATGGCAATGACAAAAAGCAAAAATAGAGAAGGTACACAAAATTCATACCCTAAGGTACTATATGCTTTTTTGAATTAGGCACAATTTATGCTCTGGGCTTTTTCAATAAAGAGAAAAACCTAACCAGTTACAGATTGATGAGGATCCATCAGAGAAAACAAACTACTTAGAAGAAGCACAACTATCATTGGTGCTTAACTTATAAAAAACTTACCCTATGGCTCTCTCAAAATAAGACACTGCTGAACAACATCCTTAACGCCATTCTTACAGTAAACACAACATTGAATTTCAGAAGTATGATTCTTACGACATCCCTCCAATTAGACCAATGATGCAAAATCAAATGTAATTCTACTTGTGATAAAACAAGTAGTCTAGGGGTGCAAGCTCTCTGATCCAAGCACATATATTAACTAATGTTCGATCCCACCCTACTCCTACATTTTCCCCATCTAGAAATGTCAATGTATTATTTGAATTCATCTGAATACAGCTCACTATAATCAGCCCTAAACCTACTTGTCTAGCCTCTATTCCCACTTTTCCTCTGAACCTATGCATTTTAAACCACACACCACTACCAATTATTGTACTACGAAATCCAATACATGGGTAACAACCACACCTTGGAGAATGCACTGTATGCACAAATGTCTTTAGTGTTTTTTATATATGTACATATTTAAATGTGCACATAGCATACAGAAAATAAAAATAATTTCTTGCTGTGAATCACTGTTGCAAAAGTCCGAAGTCTACTGTTGTAAGTATTCCTTTTTCACTGGGTTCGCTGAATTTCTGTCAACACATTTCCTTTCCAGTTCTTATTCCTTTAAGCATAGAGTTCACTCATCCTGGAAGATTTAATCCACCATTTCACCCAGAGAATTCCTATCCATTCTTTAAAGCTTATTCATTTGTTCATTCATTTATTCAAGAAAACTTTGCTAGATACAAACATGTCAAACACGTTTCTATGGAACCTTTCCTAAACACCTCCAACGAGAAGTGATTGTTCTCTTCTTACAAGCTAGAAAGCATTTCACATCAAGGTATCTGTTTAATCTCCTCTATTCAGATTAAGTTCCTGCCTTTGAGGCAGGAATCCCTGGGTGTTAGAAATTTTTTTATTTCTCAGAATGAACCCCCATACCCTCTAGATACTCCTTATTAACCAATTTTTAAAGAAAAAAATCCACTAAAAACCCAATCAAATGTCATTCTATCTATGCAAATTCTTTCAAAGAGTAAAAACACAGGAAACTCAGAATGACATCAGTTAATCAACATTTCATAGAACTAACTAAATCATAAGGCCAAAACAAACAAAATAAAACACAAAACCAACCAACAGGCAAAAATTTCCACTAGTTTTCATCAACTCTTAAAGCTCGCTCCATTCAAACAAACAAAATGAGTAGGGAATTCTGGCTCAAGGTTCTAATCATCCAAATGAAGCACCAATGACAGTGACTAGATGTTTTCTTGAATGACTTAAATTCATAAAACTCCACGTGGACCAACATTCCAAAACACTTCCCTTTAAAATACACTTCGCAAAATCACACACATTATCAATTTCTTAGATCTGAAAAGCTCATTCCACTTCACCAGTAACTTTCTCCCGAGAAACTCCTGCCTTCACCTCTAACACAGATTTTGATGACTCTTCCAAATACACCAAATTTCCTTTCCGTCCTAACTTCATATAGTTGATCCCTTCTCTCTTGTTGAGAGACAACTCCCTCCCCACTAACGAAAGGAGAAGAAATAGACCAGAAGCTTCAAGGACCAGCGGAGATAGCTGCAACACATGGCAGCCTCAAAAACATAAAGACGAGAAAGAGCTCTCTGCGGCACCAGACGGTGTGCTCCTTTGTGCACCTATGTTCAGGTACACTTGTGCACCAGCTCCACACGCTGCGGGCACTTGGTGCCTATCGGTAAAAATGAACTGGAAAACTCAGAAACTCCCAGGGTCCCTTTCCCTTTGACTTCTCAAAGATTTGGGCCGCTCCAGAAGGAGCTCCTACTCCTCTCCCTCCTCACCCTAAAAGTGCAACTTTTGCTCTGGAGAGAAACTTTTTTCCAGAGCACCCGTTTCATCCCATCCCCAGGGGAAACGGGGGGGAGGGGTTTAAAAAGAGGTCGCCTGGGGGCGCCCAACACTGCGCTGCCATCCCTGGACCACAGCTATGCCGGACTTACCCCCAAACTACATAGTTGGTCTTCACATTCTTGGGCCAGGAGAACTCCCCGAAGATCACTTCGTCTCCCTTCACCACAATCTCCTTCTTCTGGATGTTGTACTGTCGCAAGACGCTCAGCACGTCCGCCATCTTCCCCCCCCTCGCCGCCGCCGGCCCCGGGCGCCTCCGCCGCCGCCGCGCCGGCCTCCTTCTTCCCCCGGCGCCTCGCCCTCTTCCTCCTCCTCCTCCGCCGCCGCCGCGAACCAACAGCAGCAGCACTAACAGCCGTCCTCGCCTACGACAGCAGCAGGGGAAATAGCCACCCCGGCCGCCGAGGACCCCGCGCGATCAGGCAAGGCCCCGCCGCCAGCTGCCCGCGGAGAACGCCTGACTGCGCTCGTCCAGCGCCGCACGCCTGCCGCCAGGGGGAGCCGGACCGCCTGGAAAAACGCCCCTCCCAGACTCTCCGCACGGAGCCCGCTCCCTTCCCGAACACCGAGCGCAGGAACACCGCACCCACGTACGGCGCACGTACGGGGCACATTGCCGGGCGCGCGCCCGCGCGGAGCGCGTACTCTGTCCCCCGCGGCGCGTACCCGGCCGACAGGTGCGCGCGCACCTGCGCTGGAGTTCCGAACTTCATCCCTAGAACGCGCGCTGAGTGTTAACGACCGACCTCGTGGGCGGCTAAGGGCTTTGGGGTCCCTCCTTTGGCCAGGGTGGAGTTTAGCAAGGAATTTGCGGAACACTAGCATTACCTTGCCCTCTAGATAGGACTCAGGCCTAGCCAAGGCCTCTAGGTCTTAGAGCTCCGGATAAGCCCTTTAGAAGGGGGGGACTGGGGGTTTGGGGTTGGGTTTTTTGTTTGTTTTTGATGTGGAAAAGACCCAGCTTTGTTTCTTGTTGGTTTTGAGTGGAGAAGACCGAGTCAGGTGACCGCTGGGCACCGCTCTTTATGAGTTGCAGTTTGACCTTGGTCAAGTTACGTGCCTTCTCACAGAATATGGGGTTAATACCAGAGTAAGGGGAAAGCGTCTAGCAAGTCAACAAAATATCATAAATGCTGGATCTTCCAGCTCCGTTTCTTGGATGTTTTTTCCATCCCGGTCTCTTCTCCCCGCCAATCTCAAAAGGCTACGCACAGATGGCTCTGTTCCAAGATGTAAATGGGAAACTTACTCTAACAGAAACCCCAAATTGTCCGAATTAGAACACATTGTGACCAGTTTTTTTAATGGCACTCAGAAGGCTCAATGGTGCCCTTGCTGTGCTGGGGAAGCCGAAATAAATTTATGGCCTGTGTAGGTTAACAAACCATCCCATGGGTCCCATATTTTTTTTTCCAATACCTTTTACTATTTCAAAAGAAAAAGTAAGACAACTTTTTTATTGATATAACCAAATTCCTTGACATGTTTTGGAAAAAGACAATTTTTATGTGCAGTACAGAGGAATGTGGCTATAGAATTATGTGGTTCATTTCTTATTATCTCTAGCGATTTTGCAACTGTGAATTTGTGAAATTTTTCTGTTCCACTAATGTTCTCACCTCGGTGGAATTTTCCTGAACCTCACCCCAAACACAAGCATTAGAAAGAACTGACTGTTCTTATCTTTCCCCCACACTCTCAATTCATACCAGTAGTAGAGCACCCAGATCCACATTGCTTGATTTCCGGTGTTAGTTTACTTGCCTGCCTCCTCCAAAACCAGAGGGCTACAGACCTATGCCATCATATCTCAGTGTCTAGCACAGCATGTTGGTACTAGGAACCTAGTAATATTAATAAATGGGTGAAGTTAATAAATGGGTGGAGGCTTCTAGTAAACGTTGAAGTAATAAATGGATGAGTGCAAGGAAGTCAAGGTTTCATGGTAGGAGAGTCAACTATAGCCCTCTCAAAATGATACTTAGTTTTATTTTATACTCAAGTAATAACCAAATAATCTCTCCTAGGCTCAAGCGATCCTACTGCCTCAGCCTCCCAAGTAGCTGGGACTACAGGCGTGCACCACCATGCCCAGCTAATTTTTCTATATATTTTTAGTTGTACAGCTAATTTCATTCTATTTTTTTTAGTAGAGACGGGATCTCGCTCTTGCTCAGACTGGTCTGGAACTCCTGAGCTCACACGATCCGCCCATCTCGGCCTCCCAGAGTGCTAGGATAACAGGCGTGAGCCAACCACCACGCCTGGCCTGAATTGTGTGTTTGAGGTTAATGATTCTTAAACTCAAAATAGTGAGATATTCATTAGTAATTAGTTGCTTTTAACAGCTAAATGACTGAAATTTGCAGATCATTTTTGTTTTTATATAAATAACCATTTAAGTGACCCACTTCTATTGGTTCAATGGAGGATGTCAAGATGTAATAAAAGATAGTATTAGTAGTAGCAGACCCCCAAAATTAGAAAACGAATTAGAAAAAATTAGAAAAATAGTCTTGTTTCTTTGTTTTGGGAAAAAACTGTCCACTTCTCCAGTCATCAGCTCCTGAAGAATTCCTAACAATCCTTAGTTTGAGTTCTTCTGATAGAATAAATGTCTGGCAATCAAAGAAAGTGGTATGTTGGATCCAAGATCATGACCTTGGAGTGAATTACTGCCTCAGTTGTTAACAGTACTTGATAAGGTACTTTCTGTCTGTGCTCAAGGGCAGTTTTATTCTGGCGCCTTTTCAGATGACCAGATCCCGGAGTTTTAGACCAATTATGGTCTGTTTAGGCAGGTATTTTGGAAATACACTTGAACCTACTAGTGATAATTCTAGAAGTAACCTAAGTCTCATGAAGCATTTATTTACATTGGTCTGTAATGAATAGAACCTAGGATTGGAAGCAAATTTTTGAAATACGAGGGTGGGGAGAGGCTATTGATCCATGAAGACGTAAACTGTGGGTACCAAAAGGGGTAGATTTATTACCATCAAGGCTAACAAATATGAAAGACCATGAAAGTTCAATTTTTTGAGAACTTTGATAATGTTAGTTTTAAGACTCCATTAGTTCTCTTTACTTTTTCCAAACTTTGCGTAAGACAAGGGCATGCAGTTACAGCTCTCTAACAAGGAGAAGCCTCAGCCCATCTAGAGAATAAGCAAACAATAACTTGGACATATTCATAGCTTATTCCTGGGTGAATTGCTGTTAAATACATTTTACAGTGTTCAAAGGGGCCTCAAAGCCTTGACTTCTTTCTATGTCCTACCTTTAGTTTGCCTGCATTATGTCCTTGGCCAATAGAATGCTCATTGGAAACGTCCTCAGCAAGCCCCCTACAATTGCCCCACTAATGTCAGTTCCAGATCATTGGCAGTTTATTTCTGATATTGTGTTTAATATCACAAAGCATTTTCATTAAGATCCAGTTTTATTATGGCTTTTTTGTTACATAATAACAAAGCATCTGCAAATTTTTGTTATCCATTTTACAGGACTTTTTACTGTCTCCATAGTTTCACCTCTTCCACAATGTCAGTGTGTACCATACAGTATTACAGCCTTTTCAAGTTGGCTTCTTTCACTTAGTAATGTGCATTTAAGTTTCCTCCATGTTTTTTCATGGCTTGATAGCACATTCCCATTTAGCACTGAATAATATTCCATTGTCTGAATGTACCACAGTTTATTTAACCATTCACCTACTGAAGAACTTATTGGTTGCTTCCAAATTTTGGCAATCATGAATAAAGCTGATATAAATGATCTGTGTCCAGATTTTTGTGTGCGTGTATTAGTAAATTTTCTATCCCTTTGGGTAAGTACCAAGGAGCAAGATTGCTGGATCATATGGTAAGAGAATGTTTGGTTTTGTAGGAAACTGCCAAACTGTCTAACAAAGTGGCTGTACCACTTCGCATTCCCACCAGCAATGAATGAGAGTTCCTGTTCTCATTCATTGGGTGTTGTCACTGTTTTGGATTGTGGCCATTCTAATAGGTTTGTAGTGGTATAGCATTGTTTTAATTTGCATTTCCCTGATGGCATATGATGTGGAGCATCTTTTCATGTGCTCATTTGCCATCTGTATATCTTAGTGGGGTACCTGTTGAAGTCTTTGATCCATTTTTAATCAAATGGTTTGTTTTCTTATTGAGTTTTCAGAGTTCTTTGTATATTTTGGATAACAGTCTTTTATCAGATAGGTCTGTTGCAAATATTTTTCTCCCAGTCTGTGGCTTGTCTTCTCATTCTCATTACAGTATATTTCACAAAGGAGGAATTTTTAATTTTAATCAAGTCTATCTTATCGTTTCTTTCATGGATCAGACCTTCAATGTTATATATCTAAAAATCGTCAACAAACTCAAGCTCATCTAGATTTTCTCCTATGTTATCTTCTAGAAGTTTTATTGTTTTGCATTTTAGATTTAGATCTGTGATCCATTTTGGGTTAGTTTTTGTGAAGGGTGTAAGGTCTGTGTCCAGATTCATTTTTTTGCATGTGTGTTTCTACTTGTTCCAGTACCCTTTGTTGAAAAAACCATCTTTTCTCCATTGTTGCCTTTGCTTCTTAGTTAAAGATCAGTTGACTATATTTATGTGGTTCTATTTCTGGGCTATCTATGCTGCTCCATTGATCTACTTGTTTATTCTCTTGCCAATAACCCACTGTCTTGATAGTAGGTCTTAAAATCAGGTAGCGTCCTTCCTCCAACTTTGTTCTTCTCCTTCAACATTATGTTGGCAATTCTGGGTCTTCTGCCTTTCAGTATAAACCTAGAATCAGTTTGTTGATATCCATAAAATAACTTGCAGGGATTTGGATTGTGATTGCATTAAGTCTATAGATCAAGTTGGGAAGCACTGACATCTTGAGAATATTGACTCTTCCTATCCATGAACGTGGAATAGCTCTCCATTATTTAGTTTTTTTAATTTCTTTCATCAGAGTTTCATAATTTTCCTCATATTGATCTTGTACATATTTTGTTACATTTACACCTAAGTATTTCATTTTGAGGGATGCTAATGTAAATAGTATTGTGTTTTTAATTTCAAATTCCACTTGTTCATTGCCGATATATAGGAAAGTAATTGACTTTTATATATTAACTCTGTATTCTGCAACCTTACTATTAGTATAAGTGCTTATTAGTTCCAGGAGTTTTTTGTTGTGGTTGTTAATTCTTTCAGATTTTCCATGTAGACTATCATGTCCATCTGTAAACAAAGACAGTTTTATTTCTTCCTTCCAATCTACAAGACTTTTATTTACTTTCTTATTGCATTAGCTAGAATTTCC